CCCCTCCCAGGGACCGGATGACTCCATTTCTTCCGTTGGTGTTTTCACGGCCAGCGGACAAAGCTGCTATTACCGTACAGTGTCACCTGACCAGGGGTGCCATAAATGGGGGGGGGGGGCAGTTAGGATAATTCTAAGGGTTCCTGAGTGACAGGGGCTCTGTAAAATGTTGAACATAATTGGGTTGGGGGCCCAATATAATACACTTTAATGAAGCCCAAAATCTCTAATGGTGCCCTTATATGGCTTCTTCTTTTTTCTTTATTTGTTCTGCATGTGTTTTTGCCATTAACTCAGTTGATCACTGATTATGTCTGAGAATAAGCTGGTTTTAAGCCAGGATTGCTGCGGCGGGGGCTGGACCGGGCCCTCGTTTCCACACTTGCATCACGCTTACCATGGCATTTCCATGGGGGGGCTGCCCTCTGTTTCCTACACTTATTGAACCCCTGTCACAAGCAGCGAGCACCTCAGGAAGCACATTACGTGTTGTGGCAAGGTAACGCAGATAGCCAGGGTGCGCGTGTGACCTCTGCCACATGGGGGGAGGGGCGGTAGGGGTATCACACTGCAGGGGGCCGGCCCAGTCCACCCTCAGCACTAGTGGCGTTTGGCTCCCTTTAATGTGAGGATAGGAACTTGCGTGAGGAGTCAGAGCTTTGCGGAGATGAAAGAAAAAAAGAGACCTGCCTCGGAAGCTCCTGGATGTTGGAATTTGATGGCCAGGGATTCTGCCAGTGCATCATGGGAATAAAAGGGAGAACCACTCTTTGGGGGAGAGGATGGCAAAGGGCATGGTGGGCACCCTTAAAACAGGAGCGTTGTTTACTGGATTCTGTTCCGCAAACACGCGTTCTGGTGCTCCGTGTCGCAGTGCAGGAAAGCAGACATCTCTGACCACCAAGGCACTGTGTCAGAGTTCAGTCTCCAGTTAGCGCTGGCAGTGGCTCACAGCCTGCCGGACGTAATGCGCCGTTATTGTCGCAACTGAAAAACACGGCGTCCGCGGCAGACGTCTGCTCAGGCGAGGGAACCCGGTGTTCTGGGCTGTCCTTTCAAATTGGCAGGCTGCGTGCTGTTCTGTGACTGATAACAGAGTACTGTAAATAAAACTGTACAGCACGGCGTGTTACCGCTAAAAGGGGGGGAAAATCCGGGCAAGCATGGAGTCTGTACTCATTGTTCTGACGGCGTTAGTTATTTTTTATGGATTTTAGCTGTTTTTTTTTTTCTTTTTTAATCGTACTGAGTGTACTTTCTTACATAACGCGTTTGTGCAAGCTCGCTGAGTGGCAAAGCTGTTTTCTGTTTTGGTAACGTCGGTGTCCTGAAGCGGGTTTCTCATTTTTTTAATTAATTAGTAATATCTTGGTGCGCATAAGAGTGGCATCATCTGTGCCGGTAGATATGTCGCTTAAGCAGGAAAGGAGAAAGTGCCTTAACTCGCGAGGCTGATGTAATGATGTCCCTGCCGTGGCCCCCCCCACTAATGCCACCTTTCTGTGGAGTCATGTGACCTTGCATTCACAGCCCCGCCGCCCCTGCCCCCCACCAAAAAAAAATTCTGCATTATTAGATATGTACTTTTTTGGACACAGGCACTTATCTCCACCTGGCAGTAAACAGTTGTGCATGTGTGTTTTTTTAAACAAAATCTGTGCCACTGGGTTACGCAACAAAAAAAGGATGGAAGGTGGTTTTCATCAGCACGTGGCAGTGCCTCCGCACCCCCTGGGCCCAAAGCAGGGGAAGTGGCAGGTATCCTTAACTCAAAGTGCCTTTTTGTACACAGCAGTGCACTTTCCTTGTGTTTATATGCATGTGTTTATTCACAGTGGTGGGTGGGGGGGGCTGTCGGCCTAAGAGAGGTGTTTGTTCTTTTGCTCTGGCTAACAAGACAGCAGCTATTGATCAAAGCAAGGGGGTAAAATTTATCACTTTAATTTCATTACTTTTGCTAAAACGCACTCCCCGCTGGGCCGCTGGCTGCTGTCGCCGGCGAGGCATAATGAAGCGAGCACAGGCCGCTGTTTGTGTCTCATGCGCTCGCAAAGCCGGCCTCACGCTGCCACTTAATGTGTTAATTCTCTTAATTTATTGCTCCGGTCCACACAGGTGGCCTGGCTGGTGTTGGACTAGCTTTTTTCCCTCCCTTTCTCTTCGTGGGGGGGGGGGGTTGTTTCAAACCGCCGCCCCCCCCCCAACTCCCAGCCGTCATTTGGTACCAAGCAGACAAGCACATACATATCTGAAACAAAATGTTAGTCTCTTTCCCCTCAAAGTTAATGTTTTTATTATTTTTTTTCTTGAGTTTAGCACGCGAGCCGACGCCATATCGACTTGCGAAGACTTTGATTTGGGCCTCGATTCGTCTGGCTGTCAACCTTTTACACATTACAGAGGTCAGGGTACCAATTGATTCAGCAACGTATTGAGTGGGTGTCATTCACGCCGATGCACTCTAACTGGCCGCGTACGCTATGATCGAATTCATTAGGCGACTGGGGAAAAAAAGTAGCTTTTAGCGCCGAACAATAGCATAAGCTTGTAATTATTTATTCTGTGGTTAACTATTACAAATTCAGCTTTTTATGATTGTAAGGAAAAAAAGGGCAAATTCTGATCGTGGTAAAATCAGGAAGAGAATGCAGGTTCATATTGGCCATATACTTTATTACATAGTAGCAAAGGGATTTAAAAAGAAAAGAAGCTGAATGATTTTATCTGAAGATAAAAACAAAATGTTAATATTTATTTTCTGCGTACTGTCTGCTGATCTGTGTTTTTAATTCGTTTGTGATTTTCTTTGTCATCCTATTCAATGCAAAATAACACATTGAAACTGAAAACAGCTACACAGAAAAATGAATAATTTTGTCTCGATGAAGCATTCCGTCTGACGACCGGCTTCCTGTTTTGCTAGCCGAAGGCACCGTAACCTTTGGCGCCCATACTGAGAACACCTCTGGTTTGGTTTTCAGAGAACTCCGATCGCCGCGCCTTCAACCGGCGCAGGTGATGGTGCGGGGAGTCCGCCGAAGTGCTTGCTTTTACCCGCAGTAAAGCTGATAATTTACACATTCCCTTTTCACTCCCGGTAGACAGCGGAGCAGATGGTGCCCAGGTTGTAATTCAAAAGCTTTTACTGTGGGTTCAGGCCAGCGTGGTCACTGCCAGTGACCATCATAAGTAAATCTCGCCAAAATTTTTGCAGGTTTTTCAGTTCAACAGACTGATATTGACAACTTTTAAAATCCCCAAGTCCCTTATTGTTCATTCAGATTGATGTCCTTTTCTTAAACGGAAAGTTGATTTGGTAATATGCAAAGTTTAACCCTTTTGTCTGGATTCAACTACTTTCCCAATTCAGCGCTTGGTTTCACTCTGTTTCTTTGTTTTTTTCTGTCAGCTTGGCTTGTTACCTATGAGCCTTTTTAGGAAACATTTTCTGAGCACTGCTCTTGTGTTTTTTTTTTTTTTTTTTTATATCTCACAGCTGGAGCGAAAGCCATCGTCTGCGACCAGTGTGGTGCCCAGTTTCCAAAGGAGGATGATCTTGAAGCACACAGGCAGGTCCACACAGGTGAGATCCTCATGAAGCATCTAAACAGACATGGGAACACACAGCTAAGGAATCGACGTGTGATGGACCTTTGCATGACTGCATATATAATACAGTGGCTAAGGGAAACTCCAAGGTGCTTGGCTAGTTGTACTTTGTTTGATTGATCTTTTTAAAAATTTAGTTTCTTTTTAATGCAACTTCATGATACTTTGTTCGAATTGCCTTTTATTATTAGCTTTCAAGCTGAAATCTTCTCAGAACCCAGTGCTATCAGGAGGTTTAGGGCGTTAACAATCACAGGGTTCAGACTCGATCTGGAATGTTCTGTGGTGTTTGGTGGGGGGGGCAGGTGACTCGGCGGTATCCATCCGCGCGTCATGGCAAATATAATGAGCGCGTGGCCAAATGGCAGGAATGTGCCAGTTGTGTCTATCAGCTCATAAAGCTTTAAAAGAAATGCCACATGGGTCGTAATGAGCCCCAGGGAACGCATCCAACCCCCCCCCCCCCCCCTTCCCAGGCTCTGGCCAGAGAGCTCAGTAAACCAAGGAGCGCCTTTGACAACGTGTGACTCAGGAGGAGGAAATAATGGGTCCTAAATACTAAATCTTTACAGGTTATTGACTGCCGGTGAAAGCACACACATGCAGCCCCCCCACCCCACCCCGGTGTCNCCCCCCCCCCCGCCATGTTTGTCAGAGCATCTACCATGATGATGACGTGTGAAAGGCAGAGGCCCGAAACGGACATCTCCGATACCTGATGACTATCAGTACTATGTTGCATGTGTGGGCCAGAACTGGCTCACGGGTCAGACCAATGTGATGCTGCATTGGCGCTTTGCACTTACCATGAGGTCTGTAGAACCGGAACCGAAGCAGCCCGTAATGCCTAGAACCTAGAACCGGGGCTCTGTCCCGTTAGCCCTGATCTGGACACACGTTGGGTAAAGCTGGCAATCTGGACTTCAGTTATCAGTAGGTGGGCTGCAGCCCAGGTACAGGCTGTCTATAAAAGCAAAGTTGGGGGGGGGGGCTACACAAAAGCTTTGCAGATATATCTGCCCTCCCACCTCCACCCATGAACAATATTCACCCGGACAGGTTAGTTTGCCCTCCGCTCGATGCCCCGACGAAGCTCCCGCTTGGGCCCTGAGCATCCTCTCCGTCACATGGAGTCGCTGGGCCCCTCACCGAAAGGGGGCCCCTCTGCCAGGGGGGGTTAAGTGGGGCTAATAATCCCAGAGCGGCACCAGTGGAAAACGAGGCTAAATTTAGAGCCAGAGCCCAGGAGCAGGGAAAAAAGGGGCAGTGAGATTTGTCTTCCTGCCAGGGATTTAAAGAGCACCCCCCCCCCCCACACACAGCTATCAGGCTCTCATTTTAAAATGTACTGTAAGGCACGGCTAGTTCAATGCCCCCTGACCACCTTCACCCTATCCCAGTATGCTCATCCATATGCTTAGCCCTTCTGCGTACGTCGAGACAAGCCATGACCACATTGTCAATGTGATTGTGTGTGAAAGAGGGTTTTTTTTTTTTTTTTTTGGGGGGGGGGGCGGCTGGGGTCAGATTTAGCCTGTCCCCTACCCCATCCTGGTTTCCCAAGAGCCACTTTGTTTATCGTCCGGACATCTCCGGCGAGCCTGAGCAAGAGCCCAGCCAGCCTGCGGAGATACCCCAGACAGTTGACATCAGTCTCCCTGCGCCTGAGCGGCTGAGTGAGTGGGGGTGGGGATGGATGCTCTATTTTCCGACTGACCTCTTCGTTATTGTGGTGTCGCGCCAAGGAGCGCCCCCCGGTGCATTAGAGGAGCACGGAAAAGCAATTTAGCCTTTACAGGCCAATAAGAAACTCGGCATAAGTGTCGAGTGGAAACCTGCCCTAGTGTGTGAGCCTTTCTGTGCGTGTTATAATAATGAGCGGCCCAATCCTTCGCCGTTTATCGCTGGGGTTTGCTTTCACTGTGACTGCGGTTCTGCTAATTTGTAGTAAATCTGAAGTTCTTTAAATTTAAAAATTCAGAATTTGATTATTAAAAATGTCACTGTGCCCTAGAACAGAATAAATTGCATAAAAGACAGAAGGCTGGGTTCTCGGCCATGTACGTTACAGATTGCGGGTCGCACTGTCTTTGAGCTGCTCCCAGGACAGCCATTTTCATGCTCATCTAAGCACCACTCCCCCCCCACCACCCCCCCCTCCTAATTGGCTGTGTCACTGCTGATGGCCAGGCGAGAGATCCGGCCCGCGTTCTGAGAGTGCCGCGTTTCAGGTCAGAGGTGGGTGGGCGCGCATGGATTCCCAAATACGGATAATGAACTGTTAATTGCACCAATTAAGCCGGGGAAACGTGTCGGAACGTGGGCCAGGCGGTGCCGGGGTCCTTCAGGATCCGAGTCTGACACCCGTGATTTACAGAGCTCACAGGTTTGGCGACAAGCAGACCTGTGTTCATGGCGGGTGGGGGGCGGGGATGTTTATGTTAGCGAGCAGGTTTTATCCAGCCCTAGGGGCCATGGTTACTTTCTCCGCCCAGGTTGCTAAGCAGCCCCTCAGATTGCTTCCAGGTCAACCATGGATGCTTAGCCCAGTAGCTCTGACATGCTAGGCCTGGGTCAGGCCAAGTTTCTCCTTCCGTCTTTCTATCCATCTCTCTCTCTGTCTCTCTCTCTCTCGCTCAGAGCAGAGGTGAGACATATGGGGTGTTTATTAGTAGCCATCAGCCAGCTGCTTGTTTTTCTGCTGAGCGGGATCCACTGAGTAATACTTGGGAGAGAAGAAAGGAAATATTCCGAGTGATTCTGTTGGGAGGCTGGCTGGGGTGGGAATGCTGATCATATGTGGCAGGGGTGTGACTCTGTGCCGCAGATGGGATTAATGCTTAATGTCCGGCAGCACGGACATGCCGTCTCTGATGACTGCACCCCCCATTTCCCGAGGATGTAAACATTCAGGCCTCGGATTTCGAGTTGGCACCATGTCCACCACGTGCTGGGGTGGGGATAGGCATTTGTGGGGAGGGGGGGGTGGCTGTGAAGCTCTGGGTGTTTCCCGTTCTGCTGATATCAAAAGGTATTTTTCCTCCGCACAGTAAAGCCCTGGATTTCACCGGAGGTCGATACAGGCGGAGACATGGTGAATTTGTCGTGGCTCTCCCCGCCTGGCGAGAGGAGGAATTGGGCCACACAAGTTAGAGCATAACAAGTACACTCATTAAGACTCCCTTAAGGCACCAAGGGGACAGGTCACATGCTGAAACCCCAGAGGTGTTTTTGAAAACGGTCGCTGGCGTTTAACCAAGCGAGGCACTCTGGGTGCCTGTGTGTGTGTGTGTGTGTGTGTGTGTAAGTATGTATGACGTCCACTCAGTGGCTTATGGGATTTCTGCTTTATCATCGCTACTGGTGCAGGATGTCCTCGGATGACAGTGTTTTGGCACAGAGTCAGACGTCTATCTGAGCTATGCAGAGACCTCACTGGGCTGGTATTTTATTTTCTATTTTTTTGATGCAGTGACGTCGGAGAAATCAGCTGCTCCTTTGGCTGTGCATTCTTAGCTTCTAGAAAAGGTACTGTAGAGGATTGCAGTTATACCACAACTTTGTCAGTCTCACTCTATCCAGCGCTCTTTTTAGATTTCTCTGTGTGTCTCTGTCGCCCTCGCCGGGGTGCATAGCCAGCCTGCAGCATACATCGCTTCTGTTTACAACCTGAGCTGCGGAGATGACAGAAACACCCCACCTAGCGAGGGGCTTGGGACTCGTGGAGCTAAAGGCCAGAGCGAAATTCAACCTTGTTTTCGGGGGATGGGGGGGGGGGGTTGGTGAGGGGTGCCCAGTATCCTCCGGTGCCAGGTCTGAGAGAGAGAAAAACATCATGCGCTGTTTACATCCTGCCACAGTGCTGCCATAGACACGGCTTGACCTACTTTTAAAGGGCCGGCGCGCATAAGGAGGCCCGGAATCTTCCGTGGGCCGTTCCATGGGGTTCGAGCAGGAGCGATCGAACGGGCCGCTGAATGCTCCAACTGTATGCGTCTCGCTCGCAGACTTGGCTCTTCGAGAGACATGTACTGCAGGCCAAGACGCTGCCATGAGCAGAGAGAGGGAGGGAGTGAGAGAGAGAGAGAGAGAGAGACATGTGCTCACACACACACACAAACAGCGAAGGTAATGTGATACTTGTTTTTGAAGGCATGGCGGCATAACAGTTTCATGTCCTCTGACTCAGCCAGCGAGTCATGACCACGCGGGATCTGCGTTCTCGGAGCGCATCGGTAGCGGCCTGCCTCCCAGAGACAGGAGGGTGTGCTGATGCTCAGAAGTCCTGCTGAAAAGAACCGTGTTTAGACACTGAGGAACATTGTGGAGGTGAAGGCTGGTGTTGAGGTGACTGGCAAGACCACGATAAAAGAAAAGACCTTGCCCAAAACCTGACCAGTGCCCTGATGTACTAAGAAAATAAGTCTGGCCCCAAATAATCTTTGTCCTGGGGGGTAAGGGGAGTGGGAACAGTAGGAGAACTCTAGTGACGCTCCCGAAGCAAGGCCAAGGCGACGGTAAGCGATCTGCCCCGTTTGCGGACGGAACCCTTTTCATCGCGGAGAGAAAAGAGCCAAAAGCAAATCCTGGAATAATAAACGTGCCCCCCCCCCCAAACTCTCCTACTGCCCTCCTCTCCCCTTTATGTAAGCCCTCTGCTTTGGGGAGGGGTTGTTTTTTGGGCTTGGGGGGGTATGCAAAACATTTGGGAGGCTGAACAGCGGATTTGCTCGGTGGGAACACCGCATGACTCCGGAGAACTGGGCCGCAGAGTAAACAGTTTCTTTCACAAGCCAGAAATAGTTTTGACGAAGCCAGGGGGAGTGGGGGGGGAGTGGGTGGTCACAGCCCAGGGCCTGCGCTGCTACCGCACCGTACGTTTATCCACGTCCAGATTTAAGAAGTATCTGCAGTATTGGAGAGGGGGTGACCTGATGAGATTTGTACCTGAAAATGGCGCCTCACTTGCATGTC